TGTAGTCAGGTTGTTGAAAACTGAACCTTTTACTCAATTTTAGTTTTTAACTATGTATTTAAGTAGTTGTACTAGTAGAGAGTAAGCAAAATGTGGAACAATTTATTCTGCAGACTGTCAGAATGGCATTCAGAATACTACTTTTCTATTGACGACTTTTAATAGCAGTTTAGTTAAGAATTTGGAAGTCATTCTTTTGTAAATGTTGCAGGTCTGCATTTTGCTGTACCTATTGTGAAGTTATATTATTTGTGTTACAACATATAAAACAGAAAAGTTTAGTTTAAATACCATTAAGCTCAATGAAAATTCACTTTCCTATGGCATATCACATTGTCAGTTCAGTATTATATAATGTTTTTAACTCCATTCTAAATGCCCCCAGTGGTTCAGTTGCGAGTCTGAAACTGAAAACTTAAAATGGTGGGCACAGCATGGATAGTCCATTATATGTAGCTTTGTGCTTAACGAAAAATGTACAAATCGTTCTAATTGTTATTCTTTTATCTGCTTTATGCAACTTTATTGAGTACTTTAGGCCTAACTATGCTGGTTTTGAATGCCATTCTTTCAGTCTGCAGAAAAAAGTGTTCTAGCAGGAGACAGTACTTTGAGACTAGAGAAAACAAATTAAATTTGAGAGTGGCTATCCTCTATTCAACAATTTTTGATGAAATATGTCATAAGTGATTACAGCAAAGTGAATAAAACCCTGAAGACATTTTTCCTTGAAAGCACTGAAGTCTTCTAATTATGAATATATATATAATATAAATTATTAAACGTATACATATATATAAACTGTCGAGTTTCGACAACCTGAAAGCTAACAATGTTATAAATGAACCTTAGAGATGTTGGATGTAGTTTAACAACATAAAAGTTATACTCTGCCAAAAATGTAGATCAGCTAGGGAAGGAAGACTTTTTGTGTCGCAAATCAAAATATTTTTGTCAAGACCATTTTTTGTCCTTTCACTTGACACAGCACTGCCTGATACAAAAAGTCAATCTTACCAAGTTCATTGTTGAATATCATACCAGGCAATTTTTTAGTTTGAATCGATTTATTGAAGAATCTTTGTGTAACAGATCAAAACACACACTTGTGATGTTTATGAAGACCATTAAATGTTTTTGTGATGTGTGGCATCATTGAAGACTATTGAATGCTCTTTCACTTGATATATAATACAACCTGACATAAAGAATCGGTGATTCCAAAATTTTATGCTGAATGTCGCATTAACTTCATGAATCAATCTTTGAAGCTGCTTCAAGTTTTTAAGGATTTCTTGTGTTACAACCCAAAGCTTACACTTAGAAGGATGAGATTTCTCTCCAATGTTACATATAACACTTCCTGACATGAGGTTGGTCATGCCAAAATTCAACACTGAATACTGTGTAAACTTCACCACTCAATCTTTGAAGCATAGTTCAATCATTAAGGACTTTTTCTGTCACAGATCAAAACTCGTGCCCACGAAGACCATGAATTATTTTTTACATATCTATAAAATTTCCTGACACAGATTTCGTCATGCTGAAATTATGTCTAAAGTTGATGTTGAGATTTACTGCTGAGGTTTACATGATATTTTGTGTCAAATTTTGGTATGATCAGTTTATTGTGTCAGGTAATGTTATAGTATATGAAAGAGTATTCAGTGGTCTTCATACATATGTTTGATTTCTGACACAAACAGTATATCATGTTTGAAGTTGATATCTAAGATTAACTGATAGTTTCATGGAGTTGAGTATTGTATGTTTTGTATATGATCTGACAGGAGATTTTGAGTATCACTTCAAAGAGCATTTAGTGTTTTACAGATTTGTGTGTTTTTATTTGTAACACAAATCTTTCATCTCTAAAGTTAATGTCAAAAATTGAATGATGAGGTTTACATGGTATTCAGTGTTAAATTTCAGTATGACCAATTCTTTTATTTCCAGGATTGTATATCAATTATCGTGTGGAGTTGTAGTAAACGATGATCATAAATGTGTGTTTTGTGATATATAGAGTCCTAATAGGTGTTTGTTTAACATGGTATTTAATGTTGAATTTTGGTGTAATTACTGTTTGTGCCATGAAGCATTCTGTACCATGTGTGTGTGGTGTAATTTGTGACACAGGGAGCCCTCGGTCATGGATGCAACTTAAAAGATTGACTGATATGTTTAGCCTGATATCCAGTGTTGAGTCACAGCATGACTGAGTCTTTGTATTAGATAATACTTTATATTGTGAAGTATCATTTAATGACACTTTTAGATATATGGCTTGAGTTGTGGCACAAACATTTTAATTTTCATTATAATTTAGATAACATTGTGTGATGTTTTAAAAAGCATATGATAATCAAACTTTCACATAGAAAATGTGTGAATGTTTGTGAACTACTCTGCCAGTGAGAGGAAAAAGTTTACTTGTAATTTACTTAGTGGAAAGGGTTCAGAGAAGGGTTACTGAAATGGTGACTGGGATGGAGGGGTTTTCATACAAGGAGAGGTTAAGGTCTCAAATTGTTTTCTCTTGAAAAAAAAAAAAGAGTTAGGGGAGATCTGATTGAGGTGTTTAGTATTGTAAAGGGAATTGATAGTGTTGATGCATCATCATTTTTTTACTTAATGGTGAGAATAGTAGGACTAGGGGACTCAAATATAAATTTTGGCAAGGTAGGAGTCATCTTCGGCTATGACAGTTTTATTTTTCTAACAGGGTGATTAGCCTTTGGAATGGGTTGCCTTCGGATGTTGTGGAGGCAGTAAATTTAAGTGAATTTAAGAGAAATCTTGATAACTATATGAATGATAACAGACTGGCTTTAAGAGTTTTGTTAATATTTAGTTAATAGTTTTAGAGGATGGGACAGCCAAGATGGACCAGTAGGGCCCCTATTATCCCTAAACATTATGTTATGTTATATTTCACTTTGTTAAGTCATTCATAAAAATGTTGTAATAAAATTACAGGTACAAGAACATTGTAAAAGATTTTTAAAAATGGTCTTTGAAAAACTTGTAGGACTGTCAAACAAAATAATTCTAACCACTGTCTTTCACATGGAGCATGATATTGTTATTTAATAAAACATAAATCACCTCATATACATGAGAACCCCCCAGTGGCACAACTGTATGTCTGCGGACTTACAACGCTAGAATCCGGGTTTCGATACCCGTGGTGGGCAGAGCACAGACAGCCCATTGTGTAGCTTTGTGCTTAACTTCAAACAAACAAAAAAAACATATACATGAGAACTTTGGTTATATATTTTTGAATGTTTACCATTTGTTTGCTAGTAGCTTTTATACTTAACATGCTTGCATGATGCCAATAAGTAGTTTACTATTATTATTGTTATTATTCATATAGAATATTATACAGAAAGTTATTATTTTCATTAAAAAAATCAAGGTTACTTTAATACTGAAAAATAACATATAATCATTGTAGTGGGAAATTCTTAAGTTGTGAAATAATTACTTTTTTTTTCCCTTCTGCTAAACATAATGCAACAAAACTATATGGAATTGTAATTTATAATGAGTGAATTCTATGAAACATTTTTGTTTTACCAACTGAAATTACATTTTAGCTCTAGGCTTTTGGAAAGTCAGTGCTGATGCCATGAGACAATTAAGCTTTATAATTAACGTTTTAGAATAACGAGTTAAAAGTTGATGGGAAAGATTTGGGAATCTTGTAAAAAAACAATTGCTTTTATTTAAAGATCTTCATAAAAAAAAAGGATGATGGTAAAGATCAAATCTAACTTGTTTACTATTGACATAAAAGAGAATATTAATGATAAATACCAGAAGCTTTAGAAATTTAAATTGATAGATAGGATGGACGATTTACAGGACTGTAGGAAAGCTAGGAATTTGATTATAGAAGGAATTAGTAAAACAAAAGGGCTTATGAGAAACAGCAAGCTCAAATATGTTAAACTAACGGGAAGGATTTTTTTTTTAAGTATATTTGAAATAAACAATATGTTGAAATGGGGCTTGGGCCTTTAAAGATTGCTGATTGCATAGATTTGCTGCTGACATTGAGGTGGCTGAGCTTTTAACTGCTCTCTTATGTTTATACACAAGGAAATATTAGCAATATTCCTGAATCTGATCATTCTACAGAAGTTACTCTTAATTGGTCTAAAGCATGCAGACATTAATATTTTGCTGGTAAATAGAATGATTGAGAGATTAAAAATATAGTCCTAGGGTCAAGCCAGGTTTTCTTTATAGTTTAATAGGAGGTGAAAGATTACACAAACAAGCTTATCTCTTTCATTTTCAGTAGGTCAACAGACAGTGGACAGAGGATTGGAGAGTTCCTAATGTTACTCCAATTTTTAAAAGAAGTGATAAGTTTGCCCTGTAGTTTGTGAACAAAAGTTGGGCTGAAGAGGATATGTAGCAAATCATCTTGTTCCATAATAGTAGATCATAACTTCATTTTAGATTGTTTTACATAGTAATGTATATTTACTTACTACAGTTAGTCTTAATTTTGTAGTAGGTAACATTCGTGAGAGTTTAATTAAGGAAACTTTGCAAAATCATTTAATGAAGTATGATAGAATGCTAATTTGGATTCACTAAAGGGACATTTTGCCTTGCTAATCTGTTGTCTTTTTTATCTCTGTTTCATTTCTTGAGCATATTCTATTATTCTGGCTAGTTGAAAAGGTGTGGGCTTAGTGTACTTAGATTTTCAAAAAGCTTTTGATAATGTGTTGAACAGAAGATTATCTAAGAAAATCCAATCAGTGTGTGTCCAATCATATGGGACCTACGTTACAATTGGAGTGTCTCAGTGCTTAGAGCTTCAGTGTTTGCTTTTTCTTAATTATGTTAATGATACTTATAGGGGCATAATTAGTGAATTAGTAGAGATTGCTGATGACATTTAACTCTTGGTTATTTCTAGTTGTATTGAGGATGTTCAGATATTACAGATTGTCTTTGATAAATTGGTAAGTTGTACAAGTATTTGGTAAATGACTTACTATAAGTAAATGTAAAGTAAGTTCAATTCTGGTAAAAGAGTTAGTACACAGGATCACTCATGAAAGGTGCAACAAATTTCAAAAAGAAGACCCCAAACTCTAGTGCTTTCAAATATTTGACTATTCTTATGCTCTTGAAGAAGAATTGTCAACTATTTGAAACTGTTCAAGTTTTTGAGCTTTTTTTTTAAATTCATTATTAACTAAATTCAGTTGGGTTATAATTTGGATCACACAATTAATATAGATGGGGACTGACTGAAGAAAAGGATCTCGGTCCTTGGGCATATTGGGGGATATGTCACTCTGTTGCTAGTAGTAAACCTAATAGAATTTTTCGAAATACAGACATTGATTAATAGTAAGAAGAGATAACTATCTCTATAAAAATCACTAGTTAGGCTTCGCTTGGAATACTATGTAGAGTTTTGTCTTATTTAAGAAGAGGTATTGACTTACTGGGAAAGACTCAGAGATGGGCTACTAGATAATTTTGGGGATGGAAGGGTTATCTTACTGAGATAGACTAAAATCTTTTAAGCTATTTCCTCTTGAGAAAAGAAGAGTAAGAGGTGATTTTATCAAAGTTCACAGTACTATACAGGGAATGATAAAATAAAGGCCTCTGATTTCTTTGTGCTGTATTCTGAAGACAACAGTGCAAGAGGACAAAAGTTTAAGGTTTGGAAAATATAAGCTAGGCTTCAGTTAAAATAGTTTTATTTTTTCTAACAAAGTGATTGTCTTATAAAATGTGTTACCATTAGCAGTAGTGGAGGATAGCGCCTTTATTTTTAACAGTTTGAGATAAATTTAGGATTGCATGAAAAATAACAAATGGGTTTAATTTTTTATTTTTCTTCAAGGACAGTTTTGAAGGAACAAATGATCTCTTGTCATCTGTATTTTATGTTAAATTTCAAAATATGTCAATATATATGCATGATAGCAAATAAAATAAAGGAGGGCTATTAGGATGTTTCTGGGGATGAAAGGTTATCTTATGAGAATAGGTTAAAAAAACAACTTATCTGAGGGACCAGTAGAATAAAGCCCTCAGGTTTCTTTATGCAGAATTTTGAAGACCATAGAAAAGAGAAGATACAAGTTTAAGATTTGAAGAA